TGGTATCAATAAATTAGATCTTGATTTCCTCGACACGTCATGTTTGATACGTTCATTCGTCCCGTGAGAAATATACTGTCTTAATTTAAGATTCTCATTATTACAGTATGAATTCAATACATGTTCTAAAACGAGCCTATAATTTTACATTCGCTTAAAATAATTAGTTTACGAACTTTAAAAACTATATTTTATTTACTTTAAAGAATGCTAAAATATAATGTTTTCCCGCGACTCACGTATATAATAGCCTATGTCACTTTCAATTTGTGTAGTTTTTAATTATTTTTAAAAATTGTGCTATTAGATTCAGAATCTATTCAATGCATACAAACAATCAAGTCTTTGCCCTTTACGATCCTAATATAGAAAAGAAACTGTCTCTGACGACCTTCGTGGCTACATCTGAGGTCTCAACTTCAATTCCGGGTTGGGTCTAAGTGTTGTAGGACCCTCGTTGTTTTAGATGCTCTTTGAAAACTATGCTAACCGCTTCTTCATTTGAGATCTGAGCAATGTTTATGGCGTTGTCTTTTATATTTTACGAGAGTCATTCAAATTGAGTAACACTTGACTTAATGTGTGCCTTACTTAAATTTGTGTTTAATACTATTACATTACCCGGAGTAAATAAAAACTTTTTAGTATCAAATTTCCAAAATATAATTCAATCACAGACAATCCTAGACACTCTTGCAGACAAGGGCCACATAATAGTTAAAGCCGCTGACCTAAACCGTCCGAATTGAAAAATAGAAATCGTTCAATGGTACACGTTCGGCCTAGACCTTCGGGCACACAAAAACCACCGTTCCAAATACGGGGTATAACAGCTCACGCCAGCTGTTTAAGGCGCCCAACTACTCGCGCTGAATATGTGAAACGTCATTAAATTGTTGACTTTCGAACCGTACAATTGTAGCGGAAATGCTATCAGATGCCATTGAATAAGGTCCAAGAGGGAAAGATTATTATTAATAATAAGACACACATTAAATTTTCAATTAAAGCCGCGTAAAGAAAATTCATCATCACTAATATATTAGGAAATAGTTTCGTTTGAAACTTTACCTCCTTCTAATTTACCTCTATAGAGGGTAATCTTCAGAAATACTGATCCAATCATGAAGCTTTTTTCACTTACGGGAAGCTACATCATACGTGGGTGATATATATAGGCTATTAATAATTTTAAGATTTGAATATTCAGAGATTCGTGTCTTGTTAAACACAAACTGTCTTATTATAAAACGAAAAGTAAGAAGGAACTTGGTTTATACCACAGAACACAGAAAAGAGGTTTATAACAAAAGAGAAATATAAAATTAAGACGCAATTACATAAATCGATTGGTTGGTTCATATGGAAAGCTTATTAGATGACAATTTAAAAAATAATAAATGTCAGCTAACCCGTTAAATTATTTTATATTTTCTCCAATATTTATACACCATTACGAATAATGTTTTATGGATAACAGATCTGTGAGTGCTTAGATACTAATAATAAAACTGTATATGTATAACCTGTAAATTTTAACGTAATAACGCTAAGTGAATATAAAAAGCCTTATAATAGCACTTATAGCATTAAATCGTAATGAGCCACGGCTATTAATTTTCTAAATTATTGTGACATCGAAACCCATCTCACTGCAAATTAATCACACCAATCTTATTTTGGTGCCTCCACTTTTCTTCTTAATGTATGGCCGCAAGGCGTTCGTTTTTTTTACGTTATGTCTGATGCTACTTTCTTTCGCAACCGGTTTATTTAGGTTTTTTTCCTAAAAGCGTATTAAGATACGCTTTAGAAGCAAACATTTCATTTGGTAAGAACATTGCAAGAGAACGGCTCAATTGATTTACCTTTTCTCGGCGTAGGAGACGAAAACCTACAGGAATTTGCCGAAAATTAGAAAATACAAGTTCTGTTGTTGTCTATTTGTCGTTCTTCCACAGAAAACCAACTAAAAAACCATACATAAACTGACGGATTAAGTAGAATTTCTTTTTTTACCCATGTCATCAACCCTATTTACTTTATAAAAAAAAGGATTTATTTAAGGCGAGATTTTACGAAATAACCACTTTTTAAACCAATTTTATTCTAAAGGTATGCTTATATTTGCCAAATAAAAATCATTTTATGAAAATTAAACTATTGGTCGATTGTTTACCAGAAACAGAGACATCAATTTCAATAATTGGTTCGATGTAAAAAAATCGCAGAAATTCTTAATAGGTTTTTGAACCGAATTTACGGTAATATATTTCATCATAACAATAAAAAATAGGTATGATATACATTATCTAAAAACATCAAAATATCTTTTTAATAACTGCAATTGTTTTTTGTTTTCTTTCGCGCTCGTTTGATTTCATACATTAAAATATATGAAAAAAAAAATACATTAAAATGTATGAAATCAAACGAGCGCGACTTTACTCTCGATGCGTATTTGTATAGGAACGTGAGCGGAGGTACAGTAGAGCCTTAACCCTATTTTTGTTTACACTAACATCTGTCCTAACTTCGCCAGAATACTTCGAAAACAAAATCGTTTCGAGGACCTTTTATCCTTATTTACGTTTATAATTAATGGAATTACAATTTTAATTACTTCGATAATTCATTTTTAGGAATCCATTTTCCTGTAAAATGTGATGTGTCATAACATAGACGATAAGCCACGTATTATAATTTAATTATGAAACCATAATGTATACTGATAGTGTTACAGAAATGGAACAATATTGGCAAATTGAGCGCAACAATAAAATAAATCGATATATTAATGTTTATGCAAATTGTTTAATAATTTAAAAGAGCAATCTCAAGAACAATCAAATCTCGCTGTTACGAGTTAAGATATTAAGACATTGATAGACTGAAAAGGATAAAAAAAAATTATGAAGTCACTTAATTACCGCAACGTTTCCGTCTATTCGACAATATAATTTGCTTCGTAATTCGTTTGATATTATCTTTCTTTATAAAATATTGAACTCCCTTATTGACTCATTAGAGCTTCTCATTATAATTTTTCATTAGAACTTGTCAATTAATTCAACCTATTTATTGATTAATTCACAGAATTCGCGGCGACAACTAAAAAAAAATATAAAGATTTTTTTTCGTTAGAATAAGATAAGTGTAAGTTCTGTTTCTTTTGATGTAAAAAACAAATTTAAATACAAATCAGAGATAATGCTCATAATACAAACCGACTCTTTGCTCTGCTATAATTTAAGAGGTTATTATTTAAATTTTAATAGATGTACCTGCACAATGACTTTGCTTGTATTTTATACGGAACACATACTCGTATCCATAGTCGAAAATGTCATAACTTAAGCAAATATCTTTAACCAACATACGAGAATTTGAATGAAGTAAGAACTGGTAATAGCTAATATTAATGGCATTTCAACTATTAACAGTTTTGACTTCATTGAAATTCTTGTTTATTCGATAAAAATACTAGCTTAAATTATAATAACACATTATTATGAGCCGTTGTTCTCAAGTCATAATTTCTCTGACTTACTATAAATACGGGCGTCAGATTACGAGTGACATTTAACCGGCTTTTTACTTACAAACTGTAAATAGTTCACACATCGTATCAATTTGCTGACCATCACACTTATTGTTCTTAGTCGACAGTTAAGCACCAATTGCAAACAAAAGTACCGTACACCTGATATAATAGTCTAACTATGCTATATTCGATCATATCCCAGGGTTATAGAATTGATAGTCCTTTAACAAGACAGCGACTCGATGCTGAATGCTCCAATAGTTTGAAGTAATCATAATCATGCACACACAATTAGCGCAAATACAATGATTACACCGTTTTACGGACTTATAGAGAAACTGTGGATAGCATAATTAATTAGCGTTATTTAGTACAGTAGTACAGAGCTGTAGTGTGTAGGTAAGTACAGTTTTGAGTGCAACGAGCGCTAGTCTACCCGTCAACTTCCATAACATGAACTTTAGATTCATTATGTTGTCTGTTTTACAATGCTTCATCCATTCTACATAAGGTGATTATTGCTCGACTTTTCCTTCCCTACCTAACTCCCTTCTATTTAAGAATAAAACTAGAACCAAGTGAAATGTTTGTTTAATTATAATTAAAAAAAAGTCTTAGTAATTCAACATACTGATATATTAAGCTTTTGTAGACAAAAATGTGCAAGAACATTATTGTCACAATCTCTGCGACTATTATAATAATATCTATTAAAAAGTGATATGTTATAAAAGTCATTAAAACGCTACTACAATTAATTACAAGTAATTACAACGCCAATACCATAATCGAATTAACAGGATGTACATATCTTTATATTATTCATACTTTAATGAGGTTACGCATAAAAGCTTTGATTTGCCTACTCGTTTACTGTTAAATAATAAATATTTACTACACATCACTAAAACAACAAACAGTTTTAATTTACTACATAAAAATAATTGACGCATAAAACCAATCTCATTATAGAGAGGATTAAAGTTACTACTCGGTTTAAACCAATGGTCGCCTAAAGCAAATTGACAATGAACGAAGAGAAAGCGTCACATTGAGACGTGTTTACTTAATTTGGTCGGATAATGGTTTAAATCTTGTACTAAAGTTTTATAATAAACGAGTAACAGTGCTACTTATAAACAAGGTTTAGCATCAGAGTAAATGTACGCTAAAATTGCAATTTTAGTATTAGCCGTATTTATATTACACAGAGAATAAGCAAATCTACTACCTTCTAGGAGCAAATATTACTCCCGTAGAACCTCGTACTAGGTTAACCTTTGTTAAGTCTCTGTTTAATAATTTGAATTTTGACTTATAAGAAGAGCGGTCTCAGCGTAAATTTACTCCAGCGCTAAACCTTGTTTATAAGAAGCACTGTTAAAGTTTACTGATTTCGCTACCGTTCTCACATTTCAATATGTTATTTTCGAACTTTGTATGTTAGTATTGTTACCTGTAGGCGGACGCTCCTTGGGGTAGCATATGCGGAATAGTCCCCTCGTTCTCGTGAAGAAATAGTACTTGTTGTTCAGACTGTCTAGAATAGCCTGAGAGTTGCCTGCCGTGTTCTGCGCTGCATAAGCCTGTAACAAAAGAAATTCCGGTCAAATCTTGACTTTTGTCCAAAGTTTGGTTTCTCACCAATAAAATATACATTCAAAAAAACAACGAAACGCTTTAAGAAAAGGAAGACTTTGCCTCATTTTAGGCTTAGATGTCGTGACAAAAATGTGCAAGGGATTTCTAAAGCTTGATATTACAGCATGTTGAATGTATGACTCAATGCCCAGTGCAATACCCAGTGTGCTGGAACACCTCGAAGCTGAATTTCGCGACAACTTCTGAAAACACTGGATACTCAGTGCTGGGTAATTAGTATTTCAACATATTGAAATATCAAGCTATAGAAAGCTTTTGTATATTTTTGTCACGATCTCTTTAGCTACTTAGCTCGTCTTCGCGATAAAATATAAAATATGGGGAAGAATATGTTATACACATATGCAGTGGTCATGCAAAATATAATGATGATAATATGGATAAATCTTATGGATAAAACTTTAGTTTACTTGCATTCTCCATGTCGCTAAAGTACCTATTGGTTTTCCTATTTTCTAATAAAATATCATTACTGCATTTTAGTTATTGCATTTTAATTAAAAATTGTATTAAGTATTGTCTACAAATTTAATAGAATTAGTTTACTATTAAATACACATCGATATCTTTGTAATGTAAATAAGTATATAATTTCCAAGTAATACTGCATTTCAGATATAATGATATGGCAATTAAATACTAGTCAAGCTTCACATTGAGCTTGTCCGTCGATACGCATAATGGCATCGTGGACTTAGGCCCGCATTCCAACTTGTACTTTAGAAAGGGATAAAAGATGCTTGTATATCTTTGTACTGCACTTGCTGTCGCTACTTTTACTACTTGTATACTAATAAACTACCCATTTCAGTGCGATTATGTAGCTATATATGTAGTTACTACATATACTGTTGTTTTTAAAATATTATAATTATTTCTTTTTTAAAGAATTTATATTTTTGACGATAAGGATTTTCTATAGCTTCCTTCCAGCTGAATCATTAAATCAACTTCATTAATTGCATTATCATCCAGTTTGGAAGCAAAATTACAACATCTAAATGGGTGATATTTTAACTTGCAAGATTTCCATCAAACTAAGAAGGTGATTTGAATAAATGCTTGCAAAAAAACTATATTTAATGGTAAATTTCCTTGTGAGACTCAACCAACTACATGTCAAGTTCAGAGAATATTCAGTGATTTTTTTGCTATGTAATACGAATAGTAAATGTTTCATTAATGTACTGTGATGAAGACAAGACTGATAAGGCAGTACATATTTAACGTTCTTCTTCTTCTTTTTTAATTAATGGCGTTGCCCTTGTGGATTTCGCCAGAATTCAGTGATTCGCTCAGTTTGTTTCATATTTTAGTATTTCATAAACTCTGCTTTTTGTAGTCAAAATATTACGTCCTAGGTACGGTCAACATCAGCCTATACAAATCTTTCGAACTTCTTTACTGAATTTATAAAGCTTAATACATCGCGGATAGAGCCGAAAATACATTGTGGAAATTTGACATATTGTGGCGACATGTTACTACAACATGGGTTTCATTAGTTTTCTAGCCGTGTTTTAATGCACGCAGAGGTTTTTATAAAATAATTTTTACTTTGATTTTGTTTTTAGTCCTGCTAGCTTAGATTTATTTGTCTTTAATTTTTGGTTGCTTAAAACCTTAGCTATGAGTTATGACACAATTCAATGTTATATTTTGATCCAGTAAATAGAAGATATCTTAATAATAGATATTTTACGCATCCGTTTTACACAAGTATATTTAATAAAGCAATTTAGTTCTTAGTGTTTGTTGATTTAATGTTTTAATTGCATTTTTTACGTATTTTATGTAGATGTATTAGTTCATGAATCGATTTCCTGTTGAAACCGAATACTCGAAATATTCCGCGAATTAGATCAGAGCCGGTTACATTTTCGTATTAAACGAGCAGTACCGGTTTTACTGTTACCCGAAGTTATAACGATAATATTCACTGTTTGTCGTGACTAAGTTACTAATATAAGTGTTATGAGTAATATAATAATTTCAAAACTAAATTTTTTCTCGATTTCACTCACATAAATTTATAACCTCTCACGTTTGATGCAGCTTCCAGTGGATAAAGGGATTTTTTCTTTTAAATGCAAGCAAAAAAACTATATTTTTCTTTATAATGTATAGACATCTATTAACTATTAATGTCACCAATGCTGGGCACATGTCTCGCCTATAGATGGAAGCGAATGAATAGGGAAAGTAAGCCATGACCCATTATATGGACCCAGTGTTAATGACTACAGATGCCGCCGGGATCAGCGGATTAACGTGCCTTTTTTATAATATACTAGCTGTTTTACAGCGACTTTGCCCGCGTAAATTAACGACTATGTCACATGCATATGAAGTGGTATAGGTAAAAAGCTTTTTCAAATCGGTACAGTACCTACTATTCAGTGCAAATAATCAAACACACAAATCTTTCTTCGTTATAATATTAGTATAGATACAATTATATTTAAACTGCGGTTCACGTGCTAGTTTGAAGCTGTCCCCATTTCTGAGTGACCAGCGGATCCACCGAGTAGGTAACTCGATTGGCTTCGATGTGATTGGCATCGGCATGAATCAAATGCACTCAACGTTCTATATAATTAGAGTTAGCTGGTTATGCGAGTTATAACACTTATAAAAAGTAACCCCAAAATTAAGTCAAGTTTGTGCAACATTTAATCCAGAATCTATGTCTTCTGTATCACAATGGATACCAAAAAAATAAATAATTTTCCACATCGACCCAATAAATTATAACTTGACATATTGACATCTGTCAAACTCCTATATTCGAATTCGTTGGAGGATTTAACTTCATTTCTTAATGTTAATCTCAAAGTCAGAGAAATTTGGCCTAACTAACATGTCATCATCATCATCAGCCTTTTTACGTCCACTGAGACTCAGGCCTTCCTTATAGACAGTTAAAAGGATGGGTCATGATGCACAACGCAGGCCCAATGCAGATTGGAGAGTATTAACGACTACTGCTTAACGTGCCTTCGAAGCATGAAGTAGCTCGATATAATAATCTTTCGGTCACCCATCCCGACACCGAGCCTCGCGAATGTTGCTTAACAACAATGATCGCGAGTCGCGGCGCTTATCCACTACGCCACCAATATACATGTACTTTAATGAAAATGAGCTTTCCATGCGCGGAAGTTCAAGCAGTCTCACCCGCGTCGAATTCAGTTATTATTTACTTTCGTATAGTATATGAAACCGCCCTCCTTATCTATAACCCCCCTTAAACCTGTATTTCGCGATAAAAACTAACCTGTGGCCTTTCTCAAGATCCACTCTATAATTAAAATTAATGGTATAATTAGTATAGATTGATTGAGGTGCATGAATATATGTTCTGTATGATGTTTTCAAAACATGTAATAAATATTTACATTTATCACGAACATGATGTCACAATACTACTGCTATGAAGGTAAACATGTATTTTTTCCTTTATTATATTAGGTATAATTAATCGTCGGCTATTATTTTTGCTAAGGCAACAGTTTTACAGTAATCGTTTTATTATCTAATGAAATAAGCATTTTTTTCCATATTATCATTGCTAAATGAACATTGAACTAATCTATATAAAATTCTTGCGTTACCGAGTGACTGACTGACAGACAACGTACAGCCGAAACTTGGAATAAAGATTCCTTAGAGAGTGTAGAGAAGCACTATTGAGGATTTTTTAATATTCATTCTTCGTCACTACAAGCGTTACGAGTTCAAAATATGATATTTTAGGACGTAGGTCGCTAAGACTGGATTTTACAAAATTCGACTCCTAAAGGGGTAAATTAGGGGATGAAAGTTTAAACGGAATTTTCTCATTTCTAGACTTAAAACTAGACCACGCGGGCGAAGTCGCGCGCAAAAGCTAGTTATATCTAAATTAGCGTTCCCGTCATGTGAATCTAATGACGACGTAAAGACAGAATACTAATATGTTTACCTTTATATTTTAGAGATGGCAACTTTATTTTACCTTAACGTAGTTATGAAAAAGAAGTACTGTTTATCACCAGAACATTGCAACACACATCACATCAAAGTATCGATACGAACATTTAAAAATAAACTATACACTAAACATTACAATTTCTCTATACAAAAAACCTTGTTCGAACGGTGTCGTACAAATCGAAAAAAGTATCTCTTACACAATAACATCTCGGGACCTACGGCAACAATTTCCGTTTATCCAAACCAGCATTGTCATCTTTATCTTGGAATCAACCAAGGCCGTCTGCGTTAACAAATGCTACCTATTTAACCTGCACACAATATGTAATAAGTGAATCTGTGAAAGCACTTAATGCCTCAGCAATAAAGTTGAATTTGCAATCTTCTTATTGTAGCATTAACACATTCAAAAGTGCTGATGTAAATTTTCAACTGAACTTTGATTATGTAGGTAACAAATATAAAAAACAATTAGACATGTTAACACTTTTAAATTATTTATTTTTTTAGCCTTAACATCCAGACCACTGGACCTCTTCGGCCGTACATCTCGCCGGAGCACTACCAGGACAGTGGATGACCGAGAACTAGCTATTGCGAACGGTTGACTAGGGCCATATATAATTGTACCTATCTATATACTGATCCACGTTGCGAGCTTCCCGTCGAACCCTAACCCTGAGATCTCATGTCTCCCTACTTTTTGGATAGTAAACGTTTATTATAAAAATTATTTGTTTTATTACTCTGTTAACGCTCTTACGGGTCTTAAATCCAGCAATAACCAAGTAACTAATAACCTTCTCGTTTAAAAAGCGTTACACTTGTAATAAAAAAAAATTGCTACGATCTAAAAGAAATACTTCTCTGAATGTCATATACCTTTTTACAATAACTTTAGCTATTTCATTAATCAGTTTGTGGAATATCTTAGAAGTATTTATAATAC